CAGCAACAACTGCGTGCGCGGCCCACCGCGCCCCAGCCCGAGCCAGCCGCCACTACTACAGACACGCCCGCAGAGGAGTACAAGCTTCCGCCCGTCTGCTACCGGCCGCTGTTCGCGGCGGGCCATCCCAAGTACACAACAACCATAGACGATGTGCCGGCCTTTCTGCGCGACCGATACGTAATATCAGGCTATCGCCGCCTGTGCTACTCGTACTCTGCCTGCCTGCGCTCGATGACATACGTAAACAACGAGTCTGGAAACGTGCTCACACACCTCACCTCGCTATTTATCTTTGTCTGCCTCGCCGTCAGCACAAACTACAACCTGCTTCCAGCGGCCATGTCGCCCGGTCGCGCGTCGTGGGGCGACTACTTTGTCTTATACGGGTACTTGGCCAGCGCGTGCGTGTGCTTTGCTCTATCCACGCTGTTCCATACCTTTTCTTGCCACTCCCACTCGCACCACGTCGCTTGGCTCAAGTGCGACTTTGTCGGCATCTTGGTCCTCATCTTGGGCTCATTCTTGCCCGGCTTGTACTACGGGTACTTCGAGTCTAGATTGCTCATGCTCTTTTACATGGTCTTGATCTTTTCGCTGTTTGTTGTCGGCGTCGCGGTCAGCATCTCGCCTCACTTGCAAAAGCCACACTTGCGCTGGATGCGCCCTGTGGTCTTTGTCAGCATTGCGCTCTCTGGCGCTATCCCTGTCTTCCATCATATCATCGCTCATGGCATCGACGCCTCGGCTCGCTCCATCGGTCTGTACTACATGATAGGCATGGTGGGGCTCTACATCGCTGGCACCCTGCTCTACGCGTTCAACATCCCCGAGCGCTGGTTCCCTGGCCTCTTTGACATTGTCGGCAACTCGCACCAGCTATTCCACTGTCTGGTATTTTTCGCCGCATTGACGCACTATTACGGCATTGTTCAGGCCTTCAAGTGGCACCACAGCGCCCAGTCCGTTCTCTAAATCTCCTTTTTGCGCCCCCCCCCCACGTTTTGTCTACTATATATTATTTACCCTAATAATAGCACTAATCCACCTCATCTAAGCGGCCTTGGCATTGTTGACAAAGGCTCGGATCTTTGCCGCATCTTTGGTCTTGTTGGTTTCTATGCCGCTGGAAACGTCCACGCCCCAAGCGCCGCCCACCCTCACCGCTTGTGCGACGTTCTCCGGGGTTAGTCCGCCGGCCATGAGAAACGGCACATCCTTATCAGCCAGCTGTCTCGCCAAATTCCAGTCAAAGCTCACACCTTTGCCGCCCTGCTGATCGGTCCCCGCGACCTTGGTATCGAGCAAGATAATTGAGTGCTGGAATGTCCTGAACAAATCGCTGTTCTCCAACGAAAAATGGCCATCAACATGAAACACTTTAATCACAGGCACGGGTATCTTCTCCGCCATATCGATGGGTTCCATTCCGTGGAGCTGGACCAGATCCAGGGGGACCATGCGTGCCACGTTGATGATGTGGCCCAGGTCTTGGTTCTGGAATACACCTGCCAGTAGTGGCCGAGTCGACTTGAGTATCCGGCTGCTGCAAGCTTTGAAAAAATCGTTTGCTGGCGCACTTGGCTCAATCTCTTGGTGGATGCTGCCGGCTGAGAGGACTGCACTGTTCGCGGTATCGCTCCTTGCACTCACATTGCGAATCGCGCGAGCGATTTCTTGCGCCTTGCTTATATCGATTTGTCGCCCAGATACCGCAAATATCACGCCGATAATGTCTGCACCCGCCTCCGCTGCTGCGATTGCCGCTTCTACTGTTTGAATGCCGCATGTCTTGACAACCACATTTGCTCTGCCTTTATCTACTGACATGTTAGTGATGAGAAAATGGATATGAGGTATAAAAAATGATGCAGAAATGTAGAAAGTTGACACTCTCGATTGGAGTGAGACTTTGGACCAGCACGAATGTCAGCCAAAGATATGGGGCATTGCAAAGTAAAATTCTGCAATGCGCAACAAATGGTGTGGTAACCCAGTGTTGTTGGCTAACAATGTGAATAGCAGCGTTGTGGAGGCGGCGCGCGAGTATCTCGATGGGGGAGCGATTGCGTACGCGGTTGTTGACCAGGCGTGCAGGGAGGTGATCGACTTGCTGTACTCGAACGTCTATGTCCGATACCGCCAGCTCTGAGCGGGCGCTTTGTCAGTATACTCACGATGTACTATAGGGGGCCTTTAGCGCTGTTGGCTGGCCAAGATATAGCGCGAGAGGGGCGCAGCAATAAATAATGTGTGTAGAATATTGTGGCGAGTGAGAGTCTGTCATGGAACATCGGCACTGACGCAAAGCACCATGAGCAACGCCACGAGCAGTTTGGGCATGCAACGCGCCTAGCTCGGGCAATAGCACCATTCTTTAGAAGAAAAGAGGCAGGCGCAGTAGTCTTTCGAAAAGAGCTCCCCCAGAGAGACATGTGTATAGAAATGACATGTGTATGACATGAGCGAGTAGCTCAGAAAAGCAAGGGACTTTCCCTAGAAAAAGCTCGCTTAGCTCAGTCGGTTAGAGCGACGTGCTAATAACGCGTAGGTCACAGGTTCGACCCCTGTAGTGAGCAATCTTCCTTTTTGCCCTCTCCGCTTTTGCCCCCTCCGCTTTTGCTGAGCTGTGTGCCACGCCTGAACTCCTTCCTGATGGCATACATGGGCGGGCTGCCCTTTTTTGGCACTTCCAGCGGGAGGGCAGAAAAGCACGGCGCATAGCACTCGCCACAGGCCATTACTGCAAAGTCGCTACCGCTAGTGCTGTTCTAGCAAGGCAACCACTATCTCTTCTACCAACATCAATTGCGCGCATACTTTGAAAGCAGTCTATTAATATTCGCCGATGGCACTAAAACCGTCGCAGCAAGAAGGGGCTATGCCTGGCTCCTACTTGCCGCCTGCCTACGGGCTTTTATCTGGCGGACTCGCTGCGCCTCGGCTGGCGCTGGCTGGGATAGCGCTGGACGATGCCGTGCCACTTTGACATAAAAACGCGGCTGCTGCGCGGATCTGGCACGTCAGCGCGGTCGTCGCTTTGGATGCGCCAGTAGCATACCACGCCTTGGAGCTGAGTGCGCAGCACCTGCTGTATGTGAGTCTTGCCCTTGCGAATGCTCTCAGCTGCGCCCGAGCTTATCATCCACTCGGCATAGTCGGCGAGGCGAACACTGGTGACAGCGTCGTCGCCATCGCAGTTCTCGTTGCAGTAGTGCATCCACAGGGCAATGCGCGACGAGTAGCAGCCCTTGGTGCCTGGAGACACAAAGGTGCAGCTGTCAAGCACATCCTTGGCCAATTGAAGTTCTACCTTGTCAAAGTTGCTCGCCATTGCCACGAATGACGATACGAATAAAAGGGGAGGGATGGAACAACAATGTGTAAACGAGTAATGCATCACGTTGTAAAGGTGTTTAGTAACAACGTGGTAGGACAACCACTATTATTGCGGGGCTTTAGAATGGTCTGCTCAAAGCAGAAATGAGAGCAAAGCATGCAATTAGGGAGGATGCAGCACTAGCAATAGCGTGTTCATGAAGCTGAAGCAACCTACGAATGAGAACAAAGGGGAAGTGACTAGGCATGCCTACCTTTGTTGGTATAAAACATTGCCAGCCAGTACAAACCGCCGACAGGGAAGCAAGTAAAATGATAATAAAAAAGAAGCTTGGCAAAAAATATCCAGAAGAAAGAGAGGAAGGCCCACTGAGTCAGCGAGACTAGTGCGTACTTTCTTTAAAAATGTCTTTGCCCATCACAATTGCCGCCGCTCTTTCAAAAAAGACGCATTTTAGCGCTGTTTTACGCCTTGAATTGGACTAATTGATCAGATAGTCGGCATTGCAGTCTCAGCAGCAATGCCAAAAGAAAAAAGAAAGAAAAAAGTGCCATCTCATGCCATGAAAGGCAGCGCCTCCTGGGTGCCCCTTTTAAGCAAACCCTCAAAGGCTGCTTTCAGCGCTCTTTTGTATCAACACATTTCAAAGCTTCCTTTGCCATTGCAAACGGTGTGGGATGTGTGCTCGTGCAAAAAGCACGCCCCCCTTCATTCCGTCTACTTGGGCAAGGAGAGAGGAAAATGTACGTACATTGGTTAGAGCCAGCATATGCAAATATCTAGCACTGCCTTGCCGTGCCTAAAATTGAGCCCAGGACATTCAGGCTAGTGCAGCACATTGGATGTAAGCGCCAGTGTTCAAAAAGCCAGTCAGCGCTTTAAACGGTTGACCAGCTGCTCCGTGGCGCATGCCACTGCTGAAAAAGGCAATACACTGTTAGCGAAAACAACGCTTCGCCATTTACGCGAACTTTATCCGACGATTAAGTGTCGATTGCTGCTTTAAAGCGGCAAGCCCGACATTGCGCAAAAGTGTCTTTTTTTTTTTTTTTTGGCAGCGCCAAGAATATCTGCTGGCTGGTCAAGTACAGCTGCTTCGCCGCAACGAGATGGTAGCACTTCTGTTAGCAGGTATCAGGCCAACGACGACAACGGATGCGTGTGTGGTTGGTCCTTTTTGGGCGATGCCTCATGCATACTGCTTTGGCATGGGCCAACACAACAGCACTTATAAATGGCCGCCCTTTTGATGGCCCACGGATTTCCTAGCTCTAGGCCTTCACTTCGTTTTTATCCTCTATCTACTTTGTATACCTTACTGAGAGCGGTAGAAGCGTAAGCATGTGCTTACAACCTCCTCGTTGGAGGAGTGGTTGTCTTTCTCGATTTTCTATTGCCTATTTTTTTTTTGCTGTTTTGACAGCCCTTTCAGGGCCGTTCTTCACAGATCCTGACGTCTCTTCAAGATATTATTCATCAGTCTTTTCTGCTTGCAAGGTCAACTTTGGACGAGATGGCTTTATCCGGAGTACGCCTGCCCAGCTTCTCGGGCGATAATACAGCAGATGTCGCCGCGGTGTTGACGTTTGTTGGTAGGGAGGGGCTCATCAGAGTACCAAATAAAATCACGAAAAATTTACTATTATTAGAGAGAAGAGATGCCTCTTTGGCTCAGTTGGCAGAGCGTAGGTCTCATAATCCTAAGGTCGTGAGTTCGAGCCTCACAGGAGGCACACCTTTTTTGCACCTCTGTGCTGCGTGTATTCTTTCTTTTTTCTTTCTTTTTTGCCACCTCGCGTGCGCCTGGCTTAACGCCCGACCGCCATCTGCCGTGCTTGCGGGCAATAAAGTTGCATCCTCCGTCCCCCCCTGCGCTCTGCGGCGAGCATAGCTGAAAGGAATAAACAATTTATTTACGAAAGAACAACTGCCGCAAGCGCCGCTTCGCAGCTTTAGAAATGCCAATCTTCCGATTAGTTGATGTAATGCATATATGACCAGTCGTAGTGCCCGTGCGACTTCTCGTGGCTGTCCTTCATCACCTCCTCCTCGGACGCAAAATCGCAGTCGTTGCACTGGAACACAGATCGGAGCCCGAGCCGGCAGAGTATGTGTTTGATCGTCATTTTCAGCTGGGAAACGTGCTAAACCTGGAAACCGGTGATGGAG